AGTTCTCTGCCCTGATGGCCAGCTGGGTAGGTGGGGCTTGGTGGTCATGTGACCATGTGGGCGTGGCTAACTCAATGTTACTCAGGTTGATGGGCACTTCCCCTTAGCTGTTACAATGTAATGAGGGTTAACAGGAGAGGCATTTTCCGTAAGCAGGTCAATAAAGATCAGGCTAGAAACAACACCAGAATGTTTCCTTCCTGCCTTCCTTACAGGATTAGCCCTGTAAAGCGGAAAAAACCCAAAAGAAGATTTCTTCCAACAACTGGTTCTCTGAACCTCTTAGAAAATTAAGAGCCAGAGATGGGTTCCTACCGGTTCGCACAAGTGAACCGGCAGTAAAGCTGGCCGGAACCCACCCCTCGGCAGAGCCTCCAGCAGCTGCAGCTACCTGTTCGCCTGAACTGGTAAGAACTGCCGGAATACCACCACAGCAGTGGTGGGTTTCAGCCAGTTCGCACCTATCCGGGAGAACTGGTTCTTAATTTTCTAAGAGGTTCAGAGAACCAGTTGTTGGAAGAAATCTTCTTTTGGGTTTTTTTCCGCTTTACAGGGCTAATCCTGTAAGGAAGGCAGGAAGGAATCATTCTGGTGTTGTTTCTAGCCTGATCTTTATTGACCTGCTTACAGAAACTGCCTCTCCGGTTAACCCTCATTACATTGTAACAGCTAAGGCAAAGTGCCCATCAACCTGAGTAACGTTGAGTTGGCCACGCCCACGTGCTCACATGACCACTAAGCCCCGCCTACCCACCTGATCATTAGCACAAAGAACCGGTTGTTAAATTATTTGAATCCCACCACTGCACCACAGGTACATTATGGGTTCCCGCTCTTAATTCCATCTAGTGCGACCAAGAAGAAGGGCCTAATCTGTGGTGGCTCCAACTCTGCGAAACATCATGCTTCTGGAAATAAGATTAGCCCCCTATCTTCACACCCTTTGGAAAAGTTCTGAAGATATGGTTTTGCCAATGGGCTTGGGCGCCCCAGGAGGGATACAGAGGCTATCAAGTGGTTGATTTGATTGTTGTCACTATGAGGGGACAGATTTATTTAGGTTTTATTTCTGTAATAAAATTGCCTGTAATCCCCATGAGTGACTTGGGCAGCCATATAAACTTTCTCAATAAATAAATGAGATAATTTTTCAGCTTCTTAAGCCCCTTCTGCCCTTTCCCTCCAGTGATGGGTTCCTCTCTCCGTTGCTACTGGTACGCTGCTTATGGGGCCAGGAGTCCTGTTTGTGCACGCATGCGCACTCCAACACGGAGGTCGGAGGTGATGCTGCATGATGTGCGCACATGCGCAATTGGCTGGTTGCTTTAAAAACAGGCATAGAAGGCGGACGGGCAGGTGGGCCACACTGGCCACCGTACCGATATGCTGTCAGCTGCTCTCGGCTACTAATGGTATGACTGTACCAGGCCGTACTGGCCTCAACCCACCACTGCCCCCTGCCACCTCTTCAAAGGAATTTCTGAAGCAACCCCAATGGAACAGAAGTTGCCTTCAGAAGTTGTGGGAGCTTCATCACTGGAAGCTTTCAAGAAGAGACTGGACTGCCCTCTGTCAGAAATGGTGTAGAGTCTCTGCTTGGGCAGGGGGTTGGACTAGATGACCTACAAGGTCCCTTCCAACTCTGTTAATCTGATATGTTCTATTGTGTGTCATTTGTGACACAAAATGAAAAGATGGCTGTTTCCATTCCTTAAGGATATTCTTGGCAGTAAATAAAATAAGAAAGGTGATTGCTGTCACTGACTAAAGCTTCAAAACATTTGAAACCCAGTGGTTTTTAATCCCCCCCCCCCACACACACACACTTTGCTCCATATTGTTAAGTATTCGCTTTGGTTTGTATCAACAGGACTGGTTTTAAATGGATTTAAAAAGATTCTGGAATTATTTTCTGAACACATTAATGACAATTGTAATGCCATACTCATACTCAATACTTACAAGTCGAAATGCTGTTAAATAGACAAGGAAATAAACCTTTCGCATTAAACCAGCGTTTTCCTCATCCTTGTCTACTGGAAGAGGCGTGGACTTCAACTCCCAGAATTCCTCCGCCAGCATGGGGGAAATGGCTGGCTGGGGGAATTCTGGGAATTGAAGTCCACACATCTTCCAATGGAAAAGGTTGTGAAAACACTGCATTAGATCCTTTCCGACGAACAACATGAATAACCATTTATGGAACTTTAGCATAAAAACGTCATAAAGAAGTAAATAAAATAATTTTTCGGCAGCTTCCTCTTTGCATACCCTAGAAAGAGTGAGAAATAGACCTATTTGGTGAGAAATTCTACAGAAATTCTACAAATGCTTTGCAGGTATTCTGAGTTTTTTTTGACTTTTAACTGAGGTCTTTAACTACTTTTTCTTCATTCAAACAGGGTCCAAAATCAGAAGAACAGAAGAGTGGAGGCCACAAGGTCAGAGTCAATTCAAGGATCTTTTAAACTAACTCACAATCTTTCTGGCAGTCCCGATCCTAGGATTCCAATTTCCCCCCTATTTTCTATGAGTAAATCAGTATTATTCCCGACCTTATGATTCATTCTTTAGTCAGAGGGAATTTTCTTTTTTGCTAACTTGTCCGAAGATTGTCATATCTTGGGGGATTTTAGGTGAGAACACCAAGCTCTTTTGACATTTTTATCATCTTATAAGCTTTCAGTATAACAAATGTTGGCATTCCCTGGATTACATTGGGAGATGTAGCAATTCCATCACCACCTGTGATGCTGTATTGTATTAGATATAAATATAACAGCAAAATATAAACCACAAAGATTTGACCAGAGGCTAAAATATATAAAGAGCAGTTGCTGGAATTGGGTATGTCAAGTTTGATGAAAAGAAGGACCAGGGGAGACATGATAGCAGTCTTCCAATAGCTCAGGTGTTGCCACAAACAAGAAGGAGAGAAGCTATTCTCCAAAGCACGTGAAGGCAGGACAAGAAGCAATGGGTGGAAACTAATCAAGGAGAGAAGCAACTGAGAACTAAGGAGAAATTTCCTGACAGTTAGAACAACTTATGTGTGGATTGCCTCCAGAATGCTCCAGAATTGTGAATGCTCCAACACTGGAAGTTTTTAAGGAGATGTTGGATAACCATTTGTCTGTAGTGATGTAGGGTTTCCTGGCTAAACTGGGAGTTGGACAGAAGACCTTCAAGGTCCCTTCCAACTCTGTTATTCTATTCTATACTATTTATATTGAAACTAGGGCATTGACTGAAATACCAGTGATAAATTAAAGAACTAAGTCATGCCTCTAATCCAACTTTGTGCCATGATCCTATATATTTCCCTCCTTTGTTAATGCTTTATTTTATTTATATATTGGGTTGGCTCTCGGTCATGCATGTAGGAGACCTAACACTAGTGGATAACTCTGTCTTGAGTTCAAACTGCTAAGAAGTTTGGGAAGACAGGAAAATTAAAGAATGAATAGGATGTGGAAAATCCAGAGAGAATAAAGAGAGAGAGAGAGGGAGAGAGAGAGAGAGAGAGAGAGAGAGAGAAGGGAGGGAGGGTGTGTGGGAGAAACAGGGAGAGAAAGAGAGAGAGAGAGAATGAGAGAAAGAGAGAGGGACAGGGAGAGAAAGAGAAGGGAGGGAGGATGTGTGGGAGAAACAGGGAGGGAGGGAGAGAGAAAGAGAGAGAGAGAGAGAGAGAGAGAGAGAGAGAGAGACGATCAAGCAAAAAGACAAAGTGGAAGGAAGGAAGGAAGCTAATCAAGCATATTCTAATTTCATTTTTAAAGAAATTGAATCTTTCAAAAACAATATCAGTTATATTTCCAAAAGAAACAAACTGCTTTCATTACCTTAAATGTGTTTGAAATACAACCGAGGGTGACATTTTCTTGTGTGACTGTTCTTTCCCCATTACCTTCCAGGAGGACTATATCCCCTATCCCAGCATTGATGAGGTATGTACTCAAGGGGCGTGGGGGGGGGAGGGGGAGAAGCCATTAGGAAGATTACTACAAGAAAGTCACTGAAAAGTTTAAAAAGTCTGACCTGGCCAGCTATTTTTCACGCTGAAGTCACCTTTAAATGGGGATCCAAAATCTCAAGATAACAACCTTGCCATTGAAATGCTGCGCCTTTTCTGTGCGTGCTGCTTTTTTTTAATGCGACAGAAAGGAGGGGCTCCAGCCACACATCTGGAGCGGCTCTTGCCTTTTTTGAATCCCACCCGACCAGAAGCTCATGATGCTTCTAATACTCTGCCAGGATATGTATCATTTGGTTTTGAATCAATTGGAAGGCACTGTTGGAAGGAAAATCCATCTGGTTCAGTTCCAAGCTGGGAGAAAGACTCTGGAAACACAGAGGCTGATTGGAAAGATGAAACAAAGCCATAAAGACAGTTCTAAGTCAGCTGAACAAAACGGAATTGGGAGTTGGTGGGTTTTTAACCTTATTGTGGCTAATGGCTTTCATCCTGCGTTGGATCTTGGGTGAGAGACTGCTTTCTAATCCTACCATCTTGCCAAGGAGTTTTGAAATATCTGTCTGGAATGGATTTGTGCCATTTGCTTTACATATGAATAGAGCTATCTAGATACTCGTCTTCTTTCAGTATCTCCTTTATCTCCTAAGTGCTGGCAACTGCTGTGGGCTAATTAAGAAAGACTTTGGGGATGCTTTGTTTCTTTAAGAGCATGTTTCTCCATTTCTCCTTTAGGGGAAATATAATATTCTGCCTTTTTAACGTTTCCCAGAATATTTCATTTTTCTAGGAAGGGTGGGGGGAGGGGACTTCCCACAATACCTTCAACTGAAAAAGCTACATCATTAAAGAATTCTAAGAATAAATGTTAAAAGAGTGTTAAGAATGCTTTAATAAATCAAGGCAGCTATTGCAAATGAAGGTGTTGGAAGAAAATATCTTTCTGGGTTCAGTTCCAAGTGGGGAGAAAGACACTGGGTTCATGGAGGTTGCTTGGAAAGATGGTTTAATGGTGGTTTGAGGTCCTGGGCAAAAAAAGCACATGGAGTGGAGAGAGATTTATACCCTCTGTTGGGATTTGAATTAGAGCTTGTATTCTGATTGGTTGTCAGACCCCCATGGGGCCATGCAGTGGTTAGAGTGCTATACTGCAGCCACTTCAGCTGACTGTTATCTGCAGTTCGGCTGTTCAAATCTCACCGGCTCAGGGTTGACTCAGCCTTCCATTCTTCCGAGGTGGGTAAAATGAGAACCCAGACTGTGGGGGCGATATGCTGACTCTGTAAACCACTTAGAGAGGGCTGAAAGCTCTATGAAGCGGTATATAAGTCTAACTGCTATTGCTATTGCTATTGCTAT